AGCAGAGGACTCCGTATAAAGTGCATTCAATTAAGTCGCCACGACAATACGACCAAGTTGCAAAAACGGAATATAAACCACTTCAGTTTTCATTTGGTTCGAAAATATGCCGCGAAGGAAGCTTTTGATCAACTTCACCAGCAGATGAAGGAAGACTAATGTTCGTCATTATTCGAACATAATTGGCCATTCCTAGTAAGGCTGTGCTGAGGCTTCATGCAGCGAAAAATTTCAGAGTCAACGGCATTCAGCAAATAGCTTAATTCCGAATTTCAAAACGGAATTAAAATTATTTTCAAATGAGCATATAAAGTCGTGTATAAATAATAAAAATTGAAAAGCAAAGGCCAAAAGGGCATTCGGTATTATGTAGCTGCACTAGGAGTTTACATGAGGACACTAGTTTTAAAACATAACTATAATATGCTTAATAATTTATTTCATGCACAGACATTAGCTGTTCAAGTTTTCACAGGTCACCTAAATTATTAGTTGAATTTGGCAGTCGAAATTGTCGTTTACCATAGTAAGTAGAATTTTGCTTCATCGACAATCCCGCCACAGAATAGGATATGGGAAAAAGCCTGGGCTTTCTTGAAATTTACATCTGCCCTGTGATCCAAGGGAATCCGTGGAAATGTGGCGTAGTGGTCAATGTATCGGGATTATTTGCTGCATTTTCAAGGTTTAAATCCCGCTGAAGGGTGCCGATAAGACCTAGGTGAGGTCGAAACTGCAGTCTAACCTGGATAAGAATACCTTATAGGAAAGCAAGGTTACATGAAATTTAATGGAAACGTAAGGTATATTGTGGAAGAACTCAATCGCGAATCCCCTTATCAACTTAACTGAAAAAGGGTGGATACATTTCACATATACCATAGCTCAGCAAAGAATATCGGGGGCGCGGAACTGTGCACAAATACATTATTTGCACAAATATAAAATTATAGCTCCTCTTACAGCTTCAGGTGAGGCCGAATCATGAATCCCTTATATCCACCTCTTATAAGGAAATGAAAGGTATGCCAATATCGAATCATACAACTCTGTGTCAAAAAGATATTTGAAAACAGTTCTCGAATTCAATATAACGGACGGTCTACCTAAAATAGTGATAGATGAAGGTCATATACCCTTCAGCAACTCAAAGACATTTAATCTCAGGCATGAAGAGCAAGACGGCGGAGTGTGTTTGGTCGTAGTCTCGTTTAGCCGTATAGTGTTGGTTTGAACTCGTTTTCACAACTTGGTCGGAGCGAAGGGGAGACCTTGTGGAACGTACTTAGTCCTGCGTCCATTGTCATAATATTCTTGATTTCCCGCATCGGACTCTCTGTAACTTTGTGCTGACGATGGCACCTTTCACTGACGATGCCAGAGAAACGTCAGGGATATACCAAGTCAACGGTCTGACGCTGGAAATCAAGAATACTATGACAGAGGATTCAGGGCTAGGTACGTTTCACAAGATTTCCTTGTCGCTCCGACAGTCACGAAAACGAGCTCAAACTAACACTAAAAACATTTTAGATAAGTAAGTTTCGTATTGATAGGATAATTTAAAATTTTGTTGCAATATTCGATCACTATTCTTAATAACCATAATTTCAGTATGCATATATAGAAAAAAAATTCAAGATTCCAATAACTATGAGCAAGAATACGTGAACAAATTGTTTCTCAAACACATCATATGGAAGCAGCCTCACATCAGATACTTCAAGTTGGTCTGTTCATTTGCCATTGTGACGTAAGTGGGGCTGGATGAAGGCAATTTGGCAGTATACTTCTGTGAAGAATTCGCGAATGATGGAAAAAGCAATAGTGTGGGCCAATGAGCAGTGGAGAGGATTGGACCAGGCATAGCATTCGAAAGGTAGCGATGCAATTTGAGACGTAAGCGACGAGGCAGCACCGGATTTGACTCGGGCCAAACTACGCGCTTCACCAGATGCCTGGCAAACCAAAAAATGAGGAAAAATAGAAACAATGAATCAAACAACTTCTATACAACTTCTAATGAATCAATTATTTACAGTCACCAAGAGAAATGGTAAAATAAAGATTAGTTCCATTAAAGGAATAAAGACACACCAATTGATAAGGGGAGATAACATAGTTAACAGAACCCTCATTTATTCGATCCGATTAAGTAATGACAAATAATCGTTCGAGATAATCATAATTCAGAGGCAGACTAATGCCAAGAATAATGAAAATGCACAATGGATCTTGACCTATCCGGGGCTACATTTCCAACTAGATTAATAGCATTTCTGAGGAGAAAAATTGGGTTTTGATAAATCTCTTGTTTAATAACAGTTGAGTTTAGTTCCATTGAGAATGAATCTTTGGTAAATAGATTCAAGGTCGATCTCACAGAAAGATAAAAGCGGATTACTCTTGACCAGCTGTTGATTGGCTCCACTGAAACATTCCTGTTAACGCTGTTTCCTAGGTTATCACCTTCGATTCCAGTAAAAATGTACTAACCTTTCGTCCCTCGTATGACGGACATCATCAGAGCAAGGCTTCATCCCTAAGACCATATTCAAGAAGAGTTAAGAAAACTCCCCAATTCACCATTAAGTGCTGTACATATACTCTATATATCTAGGCTCTTTGATGATGTATACAGTAATTTAGTTAGTTAAAGTTAAAAGTCAACTTGGAAGCATAGGAATGTGTCTGTGCGTATGTGTGTTTATGTGCCTGCATGAGTTCGTATATGTACGAAATCAGCAGTGATGGCTCAAAGTAATTAGATATAGAGTATAGATCATTTTAGGGATGAACGGGTAAAGTTTTTAATTCGTTAGTTTTAACATGGTTGTAAGGCTGATATCCTGCTCTGATGATATCGATCATACGACGGACGAAAGATTAGCATGTTCTCACCGAAAGCAAAGGAGGTTACTTCAGAGACAGTGTCAACAAGAAAGTTCCAGGAAAGCCAATCAACAGCTGGTCAAGAGGAATCCGCCATTGTCTCCTCGTGGGATCAATCTTCGAACATCTTTACCAAACGTGTTCACTCGAAATTAAGGTAAGCTCAACAAACATGAAACAAGAGACTTTTCAAAACCCACATTTTCTTCGCATATACTACTTACTTACGGTACAAATTAATATCAACTTTATTCTGGCTAAATAAACCGAGAAATCTATATCTCGGCAAATCAATACTATTAGATTTTTTAAATGCGTATTGCGCATAATGTTATACCAAGATGTTGCTTTCCTGGTAGACGTCCAGGCTTACTAATTTAAACTAATAGGAAACTGGAACAGGTATCAAGTGGACCGGTTAAGACTAGACTAAAAGAAAGTATAGACAAATTACATTGCCTGATTAAAACCAAAACAAGAACAATACAATCCTTTTCTCTGCTGTTTTCGCATGAAGACTTTCTCAAATCATAGAATATGGTGGACTGTAAGGCGGAAAAGATGGATACGATTTAAAGATTCCGACATTATAAAAAATAAGGAATTAGGGCATTACAATCACCTAAATAAATAATCGAAAAAATTGAGATGTAGTTAAACTTGGTGCTATTTATTCTAGCAAAGAAAAAGTCATTAATTTATCTAATATACCTATAGATGATAGATTTAAGCTCCTCTTGGAAAGGAGTCCAAACTTTGACTTTCTGAATGAGCAGGATCATTCTATGGAGATAATGGTAAAAATAATTAACTTAACCACCAAGCCACTAGAAGAAGCTAAGAATAGTATAGAAAGAGAAGTGGTTATTCATTTTGACCGGATAATTATTCCAAAGAAATCTTACGACTTGAATATTGTTTTTGGATATTACAACAAAATGATCTGTTTAATGTCGAAAGCAGATAAAGGCGGAGCAATAAACCTCATGGATAGGTTTACTTATATTGAAAAAAATAGTGGTTTGTTTAAATGATTCAGAAAGATACAGATTTCTAGTGAAGGAATCCCAGCCTAAAGATCAGATTTAGGGAAT